AAGCCTCCAGCAAGGACTGTACATTCCCAGAGCTCCCACAAGGGTGGGGAATCTTCAACTGTATAATGGGCTTTCCTGAGGAATCTGGCTAAAAATATGAAGCAGAAGATGAAACCCACATAACTTAGGCTTCCTCTTCTTTAACATACCCAGCACAAATTCTCTGAAGAGCTCGCTGGGTAGTGTGGTACTCATTAAACAGGATTCAGCAGATCTGCACGTGTTTTGTGAGGCTCTGGTGAATCATTCATTGGCATTCAAAATTTTACTCAATGAATGGGACACACCAACTGCTGGCCTTCTTTACAGTATCTATAAAGTATCCAGAATAGGAACCGATAAAGCTCCAAAACTAGCTACCTAACTCACTGCTAGATTTGAACCCCTTCTTCACAGTCAAACATGTATCTGCAATGGACTCCACACACATATGATGCCAAACATTCAGCAAAACTGGTTGAAATTTTTCTGCTATTGACATATAGTGGTCTTTGTTAAAAACATTTTTTCTTGGTGGACAACATTTGTTTTGCAGATACTGCCCAGGAAATATATGGAAACCCAACACTGAACATTTTTTACATACTAATTTTGGAATTTTTGGAAACTAACCGTTTTAACCACAAAGTGTTTTTGATTTTTGTTGTTGTTGTTGAAAACAACTCACAGGGAATGTTAAGAAAAGCAAGTCCTTACATTTTTAATTTCTTTCCCTACAAAAGGGCATTTTTACCAGCTCCAACCTTTATCCTAATAATGCAGATCAACCTTGAAATTTTGTGACTACTAGAAAACTAGGATACAGTTGAACCAAATTCAGCAAATAGTATTTGCAGAATACTGACAGCTGTTTTCCCCAGTATTCAACCAGTTTTTAGTTCCTCTGTAATCTTGGTCTCTTGGCTCAGCATTTTCATCTGAAATGAGAACTCATTTGCAAGGGCTAGAGGTTATTTGGGATCTAAAGTGAATGACACATCTTTAGATCAGGCAGAACAGAGAGGTACTACATGGTGAAGGCAAACAACCTTGGCACTCTCACACCTCAGTCAGGCACAATCTTGAGCTAAAGCATTTCCATATTCTGATACCTGACATTGACTGACCACAGGCTTGGATCAGCTGTCTACTGAGCATGACTACAAGGACACGGGATGGAATGAGATGGAGGGAAAGCAGAACCTTTCTGGAATCACTTGCCCAGGTGAATGCACACTTGACACAGATCCTTACTACGCCAGCACAGCAAAGGCAACACTACACTTGAATTCCCGAATTTCTTCCTTCTGGCTTTACTCTCCCCCAGATGACTATCTTCAGAGAAACGTCCATTTGTCCAGCAGATTATGCTAATTAAGAGGAAATCACAATCTATTGCTGGGAGGCCTAGGCACTCGTGCTGCAGGAAGCAAAGCCATGTGTATTTTGTCCATTACTCTTGGCATATAAAGTGATTACACTGAGCTGGAGCAGGAGTTTTCTATAGCTGTTTTCCCACTGATCAGCCCAACTCACCAATCTCAGCCATGATACTCTCAACGCCTCCAGAAGGAGTTGTTTTCTCCTGTTTTAAAACAAAAACAAAAACAAAATAACCTCAGATGGGTGCCCTCTCACCCCAGTTCTTTGTTCCAAGTGGGATGGTAACAGGCACGTAGGATTTAATAATGATGACAACAACAAATGTTATGGCCTCAGTTGCAAGGAATGTAGAAGCCATGACCCCTGAACTCAGTCTATCTAGCAGAGAGCAGTGATACAGACAACAGACCAACAGAGTTCTCCAGCTACGCTACTGCGCATCTTGTGTAAGAACCAAAGTGCCAACTCAGGCAGACCTCTGCCAGCATGGTGGCCCAGGAAGCAACAGCTGAATGAAACAGCACACCAGGCTTGTTTGCTGCAGGGGCCAGCTCACAGCTCCCTTCAGAACTCGGTGGCAGAAGAACAACCTTCACCATACCCTTTGAAAGGTATCGTTAAAAAAATAACACATGAAACAATAAAGAACAAAATACATTCCTGAGCAGCTACTGCAAAAAATACTGGCTTTTTAAGGTCTTTGATGTAACACAAGTCTTCAGCCACCAAGGATTTCACTACGGTTGTTATTAAGCACTTATGCAGCAGTGAAGGCACTAAACATGGTACAAATGTTTAATAAATGACACCTTCCCCCCCACAGTGTTGTGTTGCAAACGACGGCCATTTGTGGATGTAATTGAGACAGATTGCAGAACCCGCTGCTCTGAGAAAACGGACTCCTACCACTGGAGTTAGCAATTAGCAATATAGCAATAGAATTACCAACATAGAGTTTCTGATGCACAGTAACGATATTCCAGTTCCAGCCAATAGAGGGCAGTTAGCCTATTCATTATGGCTTGTTCTGCGAGGTCAACAATTAGCCTCCTGTGCTATGCACCTCTGGTTCAGAGTGCTGGGCATAAACCAAGAAAAGTATCAAAAGGGGAGGTGGTCCTAACTGAAGCAGGATGTTCTGTGTTTGATCAGAGTTTCTCAGAGGAAATATTCTGCTTCTGTGACCCCCTCACCCCCAACCCCATGCGCTCGTGCTGGAGCATTATCTGCTTTTTATTTGGTACAGCAAAGGTAAGAATCTGTAAGAATCTGTGCAGTTGGATCTAATTTTTAAAATAAAAAGCCCAGAACCTTTAAAGAAAAAAAATAAAAGTCCAAACATTTACCCTACAAAAAAAACTCCTCAATTTTTCCCAGCTTAAAAAAACCCAAACTGTCACTTAGTAGAATCAAGTGGATTCATGAGCTGCATTCTTAGCATTGTCCACCTCCTATTTTAACTTAGAGCAGTGATTC